TAGATAGATAGATAGATAGATAGATAGATAGATAGATAGATAGATAGATAGATAGATAGATAAATAGATAGATAGATAGATAGATAGATAGATAGATAGATAGATAGATAGCCTTCTTTCCTTGTGTAATTTTCTTCCTAGGATGCATTGCTTGTGTGTGTGTGTGCGCCATGGTGTGCGCGCGTGTGTGTGTGTGTGTGTGTGTGTGTGTGTGTGTGTGTGTGTGTGTGTGTGTGTGTGTGTGTGTGTGTGTGTGTGTGTACTTTTTTACAACCCTCCTGTTGTGTCTGAAAATGATATATCAATAATATGGTGTGGTTTGGTATGGTAAAAATTATTGGGGTTCCGCAACTTTCTTGTCTAGTAGTGACATCTAGTGGCCAAATTGTAAACTGCAGAGTCACATTTATGTTGGAACTTAGTTAAATCAGTTTTTTCACAATTTTAACACGGGTTTTCACGTGTAACTAAATCATGTTGAACATAATTCAAAAACATCTTTCTCTTGAGAAAATAAAATGCATGATTTACATGTGTTTCACTCTGTGCTCTTCTTTTCTTCAAGTGAAACATGTTTTTCTTGTGAAAGTGGATGTCTTCATGATGCAGGTAATGATATTTTAGACAAATCAGTTACTGTTTTAAGTCAAAGTTTTGAGATCCACAAACATTTAACAAGCTTTGAACAATACATAATATTTTTGATACCAGTGAAATCGTGGAGATAAGTTGGAAAAGCTGAAGGTTCCTGTACTCGGGTAGCACTGCATGAAACCAAAGCAGTGGAAACAACTGAGTTCAAGAAGACTTAAAATAATATGTGTAAAGTGAAATAAATCATTCATACAAAAGCATTTAATATGGACACAATTAATCTGTTGATCTGCAGAAGAAGTTATGAAATGTCCATGAAGATTCCACCACCACACGCCACTGCAGAGGCCAGCATGAGTATGCATTATAAAATAAAATCAAACAGGCTGTTGGGATGGGTGCATAAAGCTATTTATTCACAACAAAGACCTCAATCCATTAATAGTTTTAGAGAGCTCTTCTGCTAGATTCAATTCAGGTTCTTTAAATAACACTATATAGCATTATTCACATAGCACTGATTCACAACAAGAGTCGTTTCAAGGCGCTATACAAAGTAAGCATTGCAACTGAACCTCATCATTGCACTGACTTCAATTCATTATTCCAATTAGTTAAATGTTTCCTATGTAAGAAAACATACACATCTATACACCCCCTCACTCTCTCACACACACACAGACAGACACACACACACACACACACACACACACACACACACACACAATGTCCAAGTCATGTGACTCGAGTCACATGACTTGGACTCGAGTCAGATTCAAGTCATTATTTTAATGACTTCTGACTTGACTTGATAAAATCTTTAAAGACTTACGACTTGACTCGGACTTGAACGCCAGTGACTTGCGACTTGAATCGACTTGCATCTGTTGACTTGATGATGATTTAAGCATATTTGATATTTTTGCACAAAAGTGGTACGACATGGACACAAATCATGAATCATTCTTTGTTCTGGGTTTGATCTTGTACTGCTAAATGCAGCAGCACTTTGTTTATAATCAGTTTCAGTTGCACTTTCTGCTTGTTTGAGCAAGCAAATGAAGCTTAATGAAGTTTTATTTCTAGGATTTTATTTATTATCATCGTCATTAAATAGAAGTTGGACAGATGACTTGATTATGACTTGAAAATTCAAAGTTAAGGACTCAGACTTGACTTGGACTTCTATATCATTGACTTTGGACTCAACTTGGACTTGACTCTGACTTGACTGACTGACTGACTGACTGACTGACTGACTGATTTGACTGAAAAGACTTGTGACTTACTTGTGACTTGCAAAGCAGTGACTTGGTCACACCTCTGGCACACACACATTCCTGACCCAAATAAAGTAGAAACTGCTTAGACTCAGCAGAGCCTGCTTCTAAATCTACTGCCTTTTTATTTTACCCCTCTCCACTCAAATTCTCATCAAACACTTCACACGGTCAGTCATTTCCTGCATCCACCCCTGCTTCATCCACCTGCGGGTCCCTGAGCATCATCAGCATCACACTGCTGCACTCCCCCCCTCCCCCTCTCCTCCACAGCTGGTACACTATTTTAACTTGCAGCAGCCACGCTAGCAGTGTTTGCAGAGATTTATCACAGAGGTCAGGTTTTCCATTACATCAATGGCTCCTAAAAGAGAACCATCTATTAAAAAGTCTCCTTCACCAGAGGATCAACTACGACTGGGTCCTCCTTTCCCGAGTTTACCTGCAGCTCCTGCAACTCCAAAATCAGCTCCAGAGCAGAAGCCAAGGATGCTGCGTCCCTCCGATTCACCCTTTGATCCCAGCACTTTGGAGGTGAGTGTGCTAACTGGTAGCCTACATATTATATGCTAAAGTGGGGCATCCATTAATTGTGCGTACCATTCAAAAAGTGCTGTCATGGTTCATTATCCATCTTACAGGAGGTGAATAATATGCACTGGCATTAGGTAATTAAATTATAACATTTGACATTTACACAAGGTTACTTGCAAGACATTTTTCAATCAGTCTAAATGGTCTAAATCAGCCTCAACATCCATCTGGTTTAGGAGCAAATCTAACTTAGGAACCTAAAGTGGGTCACTGACGGCTGGTTGTCAGTCAGTCCTTGACCTCCGTAGGGAAATGCTGACTGTTCCCTGCTGCTCAGTGAGCTGTTTCTCTTTTTTGGAATGTTCAGAACTCTGCTGATTTATTGGTGACACACTCAAAGGAATTTAAATTTATTTTAAAGAGCAAGTCACCCCCAAATAAACTTTTTTTGCTGATAAACTAAATAAACGAGTGTCTAATCGTGCTGCAGACACGTGTCGTCAATAATTTGGCACTTCAGTGCATCTTAGTTAAAATTTAAATATTCTGCCTAAAACTGGCAGTGTTGTGCCGTTGTCAGGTAAAAACTCTGCACTGTATTTTAATTTAAATCTGCCACCGCTATTGGCTAAGAAGTATGCTATGATGTAAACTGGTACATTATGATGTTACAATGCTGTCGTGAGCCTGAATGTGTGTGTATTTGTTAGCAGCTCCGCCCTCTCGGTCTGCCAGGCAACAGCATGTGTTGCATTTTTCAAACATGAAGTGGGAGTGGAGTTAGACTCTGGTAGGGGTTGACTTGCACTTTAAGGATTATTTCATAACATACTTTGACTTTAAAAATGTTTGTTTTTCCGTGGATGTAAATAACGAGAGACTGAGTTTATCTTAGAAAAAATTGATTTGACATTTTCTTTAAAAAAATGGAAATTTGGTTTTAAAGAATTCAAAAGTGTGAAAGACAAAAGTAAAATAATCTGTATTCACTGATGCAGATTTACCTGTAGTTTGCCAGAAATGGGTCAAAAACATGGTGTGAAGATGACTATTTATGAGAACCCCTGCAGCTTATTTGGAGTCCAGCAGAAAAAAAAAACATTTGCAGCATTTTGGAAAGAAAAAGACAGAAAAAGACCAAAACAGCTGAGCTTTTCATTCAATCCATTTCCCGTCAAAAGTACCAAAACAGATGTTTTCTGTTCACTACAGAATTTTGCAGAGAGGTGGTTCAAAACATAAAATTAAGTGTTAGACATCTTTTTCTTTCAAATTCTAAACTAATTCAAGCAAAAAAATTCTAACCTCATTTGGATTTTGCACATATCTAAATAACTGATTACATAAACATCATTGTTTCACTAAAATAGATTACAAAAAATGACTGCACAAATTAATGATGCCCCATATGCTGTAATATGTCCAAGCTTACTTGATTCTTCAGCTCTGCTGCCATCCTCATGAGCTTCAAGTGCATTGCATGGCTTTGTGAAGCAAGTATGTCCTATTTAGCCTGCAAGATAATGTAGGCCACATTTGTCCTCAGTGGGATCACAAATGATAAAAAATAACTTCTGAGCTCCGACAGTAGATTGTTAGAACTTTTAGAAGATATATATGGTGTCCTTGACCTCTGACCCTTCATTCATGCATGTTTGTCTGCGTCTTTCATGCAAAATAGAAGCTATTTTCTTCAATAATGCATTCAACTGAGGTTAAAGTTAGTTTTTTAACCTTTTTATTCAAAGTGTTTAATACGTAACGTAAAGCATCTTGACGACACATTGTGTGTATTGAAATGTCAGAGACCCTCACCCAGTCAATTTGCATTGATCAAGCTCTTGTTTTGTACTCCAGTGATCCAAATCTACCTTTAAAGAACTTTTACCACCCTGGTAGGCAGCTCTTTCGCTCATGATTTCACTAAAGAACATGTTTTGTTTAGATGACTTTTAAGAAAATTTGTTTCTTGGACATTTCCAAGACCAAATATGGTGGGAGCAGAGTTACTGGACACTAAAGTTATGACTCCCTATTGCTCACATTTGTCCACTCTTCCATATATGTATACAATGTATATGTTATCGTCATCTGGTAATCATCCAAAAAAAAACATGGTGATCATTCTCTCCAAACTCTCAACTCATGATGGAACTCTCACAAAATATTGATAAAGGAGTCAATTCATCGTATGACACCAGCCTGAAATTATGACCTAATTTAATTGTTTAGCAAAACTATCAGGTTTGCAGCTCTGTTATGATGACTTAGATGCATTATTTGTCTCTCAGATCATAGTCAAACATCTTTAAAGGCTTTTTCTTTTTAATGGTTTCTATATATAAAGTGACTTGGAAGAAAAAGATTTGCAGCCTACTACTGAATGGGTGGATTCAATATATTTTAAATATCTTTATTACTAAACGTATCAATTATGGAGACTATTAATTACGTATGTATTTTCTATTTGAATTTTTTATTTTGATATATTTAATTACACTAATTGCATTCCACCACCATCGATCCAGTGTGCACAACTCCTTTAGAATCCGCTCTTTGTGGAATAATTAATCAATAACTGTATTTACATTTTACCTCAATCGTAAAATGTGTCTTGTAAGTTTAAAGGTCTATAAAACGTGCAATTTACAGCATCAAACACACCTTGGTTTTGTTTCTTTATATGGTGTGCGTCTGCAAAACTCCTGCTGCGACGTCGACTCGCACGTCTTTGCGTCATCACGCAGCGGGGCGAAGGCTTTCTCATTCTGCTCTGTAATCGAGCTCTTACATTCTTTTGGTTTCCGTCGCTTCGGACACACCTCGGTCAACGCTGCAATGGTGGGTTTTCTTCGTTTCAGTCCACTATATTGCAGAACTACAATTCTGCAGTTTTATGGGGATGTCTTAGGATACATGGTTCATGTTTGCAGACGTGTTTACATTAGCTTAAACGCACGAAAAGGCACTCCCGTCCCAAGCGGAAGTACAACTTTTTACAGCTAGCATTAGCTTTCTCTGTAGCTATTAAAAACTAGATTACACGATAATTATTGTTGCGTTCACCAAATTTACTCTAACAGATTAAAACTGAGTTTTGAAATTATCTTAGTAAATTAATATAAATTAGCGAAACTCTAAGGAAATTTGTTGAAGAACCAGTTTTATCTCGCCTAATTTCTCTCTGAACAGTCTGACTTCTCGGAAGATCAAATCATCGGTAAGTTTGTGTGTGTTTGGGCCATTTCTCATCACATTTTCCTATTTTACGCCTTCATACTTGATCGTCTCCGATGACACCTTGCCCTGTCACCACTATCACCCTGCTAGCTACCTGCTTTGTTGTAGTAGTCGTGCTCAGGCTTGTTTTTCCTTCTTTATATCCTTACTTTTTCATCACTATACCTCTTGCAATTGCTTGTTCTTTCCAGATTGAATTTAACCTGGATCAAATTCATGGTAAGTTGGTGAAGAGGTTAAGTCTAACGCCAAACGGTGGCTGCAGTCGGTGTGTCAGTTGTGTGATCTGCATGTCAGTTTTGAAGCTAGGTGTTATAAATACGAATGTTCTGTTGTCCAGTACGTCAGAGTAATGCGCTGTTATATTTCTCGCCAGACTTGACATGTGTTGTAGTGTTTTTGTACATGGATGCTGCTTTAAAACCAAACATTGCCTTTTGTCAGACTGTACGGTCCTACTTTTGTCAGATTGTCATTAAGTTGTTTTACTTACCAAGCAGCTCATCTCTAGTGTGCCCATTTTTGGAACTAGATAAAGTAGTTGATGGGTTTTTGTTCCAGGGCTGGTTTGTTTAATCACCACTGACATAATAGGCCATACTACTCTCACTCCCCTCCTACTTTCCTCCACTCCTCTGATACCAAATATGGTGTTTGGAATAGTGCTAACAGGCTTGAAGGGAAGAGGCACATTCCTCAGAAGGGGAGGGTGTGTGTGTGTGTGTGTGGGGGGGGGGGGGGTACTGGACGGGACTAAACGGTGTCTTTTTTTAATTTTTGTTTTTGGAAATGCTCAGTCCCCTAACATCCTGCTACTCGGATGTTGTGCAATCCAACTTCATGTCGCCCTGATCTGAACTTTGTCTTTTGATCTTTCCTTGATAGGCTGATGCATTGTTGCTCACTGGTATTTGGCAAATCCTAAAACTATACAGATGGCAAGAAAAGTACTTCATATGTAAATGTATCAATTAAGAAAGTATGAAAAGCTAGTGTTGGAAAAATATCAATCAGTGTGTATCAGCGGTGTCAGATAAAACATTTTCCTTAAGAATATTTTAAGAGGTATTTAAAAACTGGTTGTTTCTACAGAAATTTTGCCATTTGATCTATAAAAGAATCAATGGTGGAAAAAGCTCAAAGAGCACAAGAAAGATGACAGAGAATGGTGTTTCCTCAATGATAAAGTTGTTTTGTGTGTAGTGTAGGCTAACATTTCTTCAACAGAGTTGCTGAATTGAGGAAGCTAGAAGGATGGTCAATGGCTGCAATAACAGGATGTTACTTTTATTTTTAACAATACAATTTACAGTTGATATGTCAGTTTGAACAAATTATACATATATTTAAAATATATATCAGGCAGATTTTTATCCTTGGGCTCCTTTTCATAAGTCAAGCCTCAACAGGAAGCCACCTCTAAGCATCATCCGGGGTCTCATTTATTAAACAGTGCGTAGAGTCCTTACTAAAACCGTACTTAAGCTCAGCAAAAAAAAAGTACTTAAGCCAAGTAGGTTTGTGATCTATCAAACATGGAGTACGCACAGCTGCACGCAATCTCCGCTTCATAAATCGGAGACTAACGAGAATGTTTCTCAGCTGCTTTTTAGTCACATCCCGCCCTCACCACGCCCACTTTCTGCCATAAATAGTCAGTGCAAAGTGCCTTGTGTATCTCATGCTTATACGTAAGCCGGCTGTTGCAGCGCTATGCCAATGACATGGCGACCGTAGATCAAGGCAGATCAAGGAGGCGCAATTTCACAGAAGCAGAAATTGAGGCACTTGTGGGTGAGGTGGAGAAATGAAAGGAAGTGCTTTTGCAAAACAAATAAGAGAAAATCCTCGGAGCGGCACAGCGTTGCTGAAGCTGTCAATGTTGTGAATTCTTCAGAGAGATCTGTGGTGGATATAAAAGAAAAATGGTCCAATCGGGATTCGATCCCCAGACTCTTGGGTGAAAGTCAGCCAAACGGAGATCTCTCCTGTTCAACTAGCCAGGGCGCATCATCAATCAGGTCACAGTGACAGGACACACACACGGTCACAGACGCATGACATTCTGTCTCAATCTGTCCCCTGCTGATATTCTGCATTCCGTATTCTGCGCTTCAGGCTGTGTGTGTGTGTGTGTGTGTGTGTGTGTGTGTGTGTGGGTGTGGGTGTGTGTGGGTGGGTGTGTGTGTGTGTGTGTACGCACGTGCGTGTGGGGGGTCTTGTTCTGTGTGAAAACGAAGCAGTACAAGTGGTAATGCTGCAGGATTTCATAATTTTATCCTCCTCAGCAGCAGCACTGCAGGTGCTCTCCATGTCCAAAATGAGCGTAAGCCAGGTCCTTAGTCAGCTTAAAGTTGCGCACATTTTTCCACACAGTTTTCTTTGATAAATCCCAAAGTTTGCGTGGAAAGTTGCTTACGCAGTTTTCCGACCCCGTTTTGTGCGTAAGCAAGCTTAATGAGGCCCCAGGTCTCTCTGATCTGTTTGCCTTTAACAAAATGTGCTGTACCCCTTTTATTTTATAGTTGATATCTTGTGTGTTTTTTCCCATCTACAAGTCTTAATATTTTTCATGTTAGTTTTCTGATCAAAGACGTCTCTTTATCCTGCAGAGTTTAAGGAGGCGTTCCTGTTGTTCGACAGGACAGGAGATGGGAAGATCAGCTACAGCCAGTGTGGGGATGTCATGCGGGCCTTGGGTCAGAACCCTGTCAATGCTGAAGTGCTCAAAGTCCTGGGCAACCCCAAAGCCGAGGGTGAGAGGAGAATGATGAACTCAGCTGTTAGGTGGTGTATGCATGATGTAAAATGCTAGAATATGATGACAGCTAATTATTGTCAATTATATTAACACCAGAGGTGAAACATTTTAGATTGGTATCCAGTTTGATTTTAAATACTTGGGCACGCATTATAAGTAAATGTCAGTGTTGGCATTGATGAGACCTGTCATCTCTTAATACCCAGCGGTGACTATTAAAATGATTTGGGTTGTCATAGCTTTGTCTTCTCGATAAACGACGGCCTCACCCTCTTAACGGTCGATTCATTTTTCAACACAAAATATCATTTAGGTCCTCTGGTGACATGACACGAGTTTGACTATCACAAGAAAATCTCAACAGGTGATCTGCAAGCTTTAAAGAGTCAAATGTCTTCCTCTGGTGGCAAACTTTTAAGCCGTATGTGCAGAGATGACGCCACAAAGAAATGTACTGCTCAACATTTTAGGAGAAAACTAGTTTGCTTACTTTGACCACAAACTTGAAACGTATGAAGCTGATCAGTGCTGTATCCAGGGAGAGTTGCAAAAATGAACTTGCAGCCTGGTGGCCCATTTTGAAGATGGGAATCAACTAATCAGGCTGCAGAAAGCACTGAAGTAATAACATTTGGAACATTTAACCACGGGATCAACTATTTACTACACTGATGGCTTAAATGTACAGTTTGGAGAAATAGTCGGTTAGTTAAATGCTGATTTAGTTTCTTGTTTCTCCCTCTATCAAAATGATCAAATCAGTATTGAGTTTTAAATTCTCTACAAAAACAGACTAATGTTTCTGTTTCTTTCCTACAGAGATGAACACCAAGATGCTCGATTTTGAGCAGTTCCTTCCCATGTTCCAGGCCATCGCAAAGAACAAAGATCAGGGCTCCATGGAGGATTTTGTAGAGGGACTTCGAGTTTTTGACAAAGAGGGCAACGGCACAGTAATGGGGGCAGAACTACGTCACGTCCTCACCACGCTAGGCATGTAGCATATTTGCTGGTTTAATAACTCTCTAATCTTTAATTTTAAAGTTGATGTCTTCTTTCCAACATAATGGCATGTCTAGATTATATTATTTAAATTTTGTTGCAAATAAATAAACTAGGATTCTCATTTAACCTCCCTAGCCATCGTTTATCGTTTTGGCCACATGAATATTTCAATGCTTCCTTTTGTAGGTGAGAAAATGACAGAGGAGGAGGTTGAGACGCTGTTGGCTGGACATGAAGATGCAAATGGCTGCATCAATTATGAAGGTGAGAAGAAAATAAAATAAATATAAAGGTAGAAACCTGGATAACGAAACTGAAGCGAGGTTTTTTATCACACAGTTTGGATTAGAGGACTGTGAATTCTCAGAGGCATGCGGCACTCTGTGTGATGTTAACATTTTAATTGGTTCATTCTTCCGAATGTCGTTTTTGCTTAAAATAAAGTTGTATTTTTTTCTTTTGAGAGGAACTTCATCTAATGAAACGCCTGTAGCCCTACGTTTTTTATTCAACAAGTTAAACCGATCTTTTGGGGAATTTCTCAAAAGATGTTTTGCATCATCTCCGTAACATTTGCATTTTCTCTTATCCAATAGGAAACACCGATCTGTCTTATGGAGAATATCAAGCATTACCAGTGTTGGTCATTGAAACACCTTGAGCTTAACATGAGATCATAATTTCTCTGTTTCCCCAAACAATTTTATTACATTAAAATCCTGTAGTGTGTATCCGGCTATAATCTGTCCTGAACTGGTTTGTATGAAATTACCGGATCACCGTTTGATTTGGATTACAGGAAAATGCAAAACGTTATTGTGAAGGAATGCAGTAGTTGTCCAGGGAAAGGTATTTTCAATAGGATTTTTCTGTGATCTTTGTTTTGTCCTCTAATGCTTGTTTTTATCTGTGTGTTGTGCTAGCGCTCTTTAGCGGTTCAAATGTATTTTCTGACCATGTGTTAAATGTTCTTCCTTCACAGCCTTTGTTCGTCACATCATGTCAGGCTGAGGGCCGGTACGGGCGTTGTGTAAACCTTGGGATGACACCTCCAGGCTTTCTTGCTCTTCAGCTGCTGAAGTGATTCACCCAACTAAATTAATGCTAATGCTAGTAGTTCATAGCTACATTGTTCCGATTGGCTGATAGGAACAAGTGTGCAGTAGATGTGAGCTGTAGAGAAAGCCTGGTGGTCTCCCTCACCCCCAGTCCTGAGGTTTTGAACCACATGAAGCCTCCTGGTGCTCTGTTTCTCTCCTGCAGCCCTTTGTCTTGGCGCCTGGCGGCAGCATGCCCCTCTGCATGTGTCTGAAACCCCCAAAACGTTTACACGGGGATATGGTGGACACATAGGGAAGAGACTGGTCTCGTTCAAAGCCTGGTGGTCACTCATTGATTGTGTGGTGTCATCAGGCTGCTTTTCTAATTTTGTTTTGCATGTCGGTGCTTTTAAACTAGGTCTGTATTTGGGGTCAGTAGTTGAGCTTTTACATTTGTTCACACACTGTAGCCACCAGATTTGGGAGAGTGGACCAGTCCCTTTTTCTACTAACCTAAAGTTAAGTTTAATGGTTGCTATTTTGCAGACTATTTTCTTTTATGTACTGATGAAAACAGAATTTTGAGCTGGCTGTTCTGACTGGACTGTAGCTCCCCTCATCATCTTCCCTTTTCTCTGCTTCTCAGCTAGAGGAAGGCATACAGGGAGGATGGCTTCTCTAACCAACTTTTACAGAGCCAATTGCTTTGGCTGAAAAGAAGATAGAAACAATTACCTTCTCTTTTTCTTATCGTCTGACTGACTCTTCTTTACTCTGGGTGAGCAGGATAAGGGGGGGTCTGCCTCCAAATGCAGCATCTCCTACCTTGGCTCACCGAAGCTAGGAGTGGGCCTTAGCCCTTCGTGCTGTAGTTGGAGCAGGTCTCTCGCTGAATTTAACAACAAAACTCATTTTTCTTTCTTTGTCTTTCGCAGAGCTGGTCAGAATGGTCATGAGTGGATGAAGACAAAGACCATCAAACTTTTCCTTTATCATGTCCATATTTTTGCATTTAGCTTCTCCAGACTTCCACAATGTTTCCCATACATTTGTTATACGGTTTTAATTTAAGAAGTGCCTTTTACATTCCTTAGAAAAGAAACACCATCAGTTTCATTACTATGTATGACCAACTTACATCACTGAGATATCTTTGTGCTTGCACTGTTTGCAATATCATTTCAGAAAGCAACATTTAAAACAAAATAATGCTGTAACTGATACAAGTGTGTCTGCATTAGATGGAATAAATAAATATACGTACAATAATACCAATGACCTGCTGTTTTAATGGCCAAGACTTGGGTTGAATCCAAAACTTTCCAGATTGAATGATACATTTCTCAAAAGCCATAATTAAAGTTCCTGTTATTAATTTAACACAAATTTGTTGCACCATCTAAATAAATGTTTTCCCTTTAAGTTATGATCTTGAGTGGATTTGTTTACGTGCGAACATGGTTAACCTCGTAATGCAACATTCTTCTTCAACACAAGAGGGCGGTGTTGCTTTAGATAAATCCTGATGTGCATTATATGAACGTGTTGATCAACTTCTACGCTTTTGAGCCAAATTAAACACATTATTTGTGTTGCTGTAATCTAAAAGTGTTTGCAACAAATGCTAAAACATAAAAGATGGTAGTCGTTCATTCTCTTTCGCCACTTCTGTTATATTTTTTACAGAAATGACAACTCTGACACAAGCCGTAAAAGGCTGTTCAGTACTTCTGTGACCTTTCTCTAATTTTCTTCTCAAGCAGCCACAAATATTTCCCCTCATTAGGCTCCACAGCCATTGGACTGTGGAGCTTATGTGTATGAGTTAAGGTTCAGGAGGGTGTCATAGTCCACCTCTGAATAGGTTCTCCACTAATTACTCCGTGTGTATGTGTGTGTGGTCGATAGAAGTCAAGGCTATTGATTATTTTAATCCTCCTATTTGTGAGTCTGTGATCCTCGTGGCTCTGCATTCAACAGGGGAATCGCTAATGGGCCTCGGCGCAGCCCGTCTCAGACCTCTCCCTGTCCAATTAACTTTCAACTGGAGTCTGCCAGAAGAGAGCCGTGGGCTGGGCCAGGCACGCTGCAGCTCCATCCCTCCTGTTCTGCTGAGAAGCAACAGATTAAACAAATCCTGTGCTTCTGGACAGACACCAGCTCTCCGCTCTAATTAGGTACTTTTATATAGTCAGGAATGTATTCAGGATTCATTTTCTTTATCGTGGAGGGTACTTCTGACTACGCCTGCTTCAGGAAGTGATGAAGAGACTTGATTTGTAAACAGAGATGACTTCATAATGAACATTGGCTCCTGTTTAGAAGTTAAACTGGCTGCTTTGATAGATGTTTAGCTCAGATTTGTTAAGACGTGTAACGCAAATTGACTGAAGCCCCAATTACTTCCTTTGAACTAATGCAGTTTTATTAGGACAAAAAAATAGAAACACCTCACTGGAAGTGACTAAAAGAAAAACAGTAAATTCATTAAAATGTTCTGATTAAATGCTGCTTTATTTCTCAGAAAAAAATAAATGTTTTCTAGTTTCCGGCTGACAGGTTTGATATTTTTGCATTTGTTATTCATTCTGGGTAATAAGCATATAATAATGATGTAAGGTCTTCTTTTTTTTCATAACTGTGTTTTAGTCTAGTGCATAGTATAAATTAAATTTACAAGTTTGACCAGAACCTCAGTGTACGATCAGGCATGTGCATTTGTGCGCAAAGTCAGAAGGGGTCTGACAAATCTGGTGGCTACAGTGTGTGAACAAATGTAAAAGCTCAATGCAAAACAATGAAAATCAGATTTTTAAACAAAATATTTTGGATTAAAGTTTCTAGTTGCTTGGATGTTTTTACGGTCATTAATAGATTTTACATTGGACCCATTTTGTTGCCTTTAAATGTAGAATTTACCCTTTGTTGTATATTTGGCGTGTGCTCGTAACTCAGCTTTATGTAGCTGCATGTTTGTATCTTGTTTTAAGGCGTATTGGAAATCCATTCTGCAGTGGGAGGTTGCTGCTCGCTTCGATATTTGCTGTGAGTTCATGTAACCGTGCCACGCATCCAGTTCAAAAACAGTCAGTAGTCATTTTTTATGAAACTGAACATGATGTCTGTATGTTGAATATCTCCGCTCAGACCATCAAAAGAAGCAATCAGACAAATCTGGAATGGATGTTTTAATAGTGATTGGTCACTCAACCTTTTTCATTTAGCAATTAGTTTACATTTAATGGTACTTTAACAGGATCCGTCTCAAAAATAAAGCTGGCATGGCAGGAGAAAAGATATTATATACAACACTGGAAAAAGTCCAACACAACCTGTTGCGTTTACTCGGCTGTTATCATTCACACTTGCACAGCTTTGTCAGTAATGTATTTGGCTTTTAAGACTTCATTACACACATGATCTAAATGTAAAACACACTATGAGTGTTCCCTAAACTTCATCTTTAGTTTGAGGATGAAGATAAAATCATTTATTTTATTGGATTAATTTGGTATGGAAGCCCATTCCCGTAAAACAGTCAAATTGATGGTTTTTGGAATATTTTTGTTGGTCTAACAATGTCAGTGAATGTAGAATATGTTGCTTTAGATATTTCAGAGCCTCTCAGTGTGGATTAGGTATTTGCATCCATACTGCAGACTACATATTCTGGCACGTTTGCACAATAAGAGTACCAATAATAACAGTTACAGCTAATTTGTCATTTTTAGTTCCCTCCTCTTGAAGTCGACTCTAATTTCACAATATCTCTGCAGGTATGTGTGTGTTTGTTTGGCATGCATGTGTGTCCACTTTAATTTGCATACTGTACACATGTCTGTTTGTATGTTGCTTCCCCCCACTCCTCTCTCATGTGTGTTTAAGAGGTGTGTGAGGTAAAATCAGTCTGGGTAGACGAGGAATCCAGAGAAGGTGCTGTATTTGTTCTGGTTTCCTCCGTGGACCTTCCCTCCATCCAGCTGCACGCACACCTCATCACCAACGTCCAAATGCAGGATCACGCTGTTGGAGGCGTAGTCGTAATTCTGATCAGCATCCTGAGCGATGGCGCTCGCTCTCACCTGTTAAAGGACACACGCATTCACAATCAGAATGAAACAAACAACATCACTCCACTTTTATCACATTTTATTTATTTCCTCTCATAAGGCTAGCTTAAAATCAATTATTGCAGCCTTTGAAATGAGACACCCACGAAATCCCGTGCATTACTGACACTTAAAGTGATGGATGGGACTACGACCTGTGACCCCACTGTTGAGCTCGGCCTGCTATTGATCAGCTGTTGATGGGATAAGACTCGAGGGTGGAGATCTGATTGGGTTTTAGAGATAAACTTGCTCAGTGGGGACAACAGGCTGTCTATTGGTAAACTAGTTCAGCCAATAAACAGCATGACTATCCACATCAGCTATTGACCTGTTGCTTATGATGCTTAGCCGGCTCGATATGCATGATATTGAGTGTGTATGTCAGAGGGGAAGACAGTTTCACATTTGCATGCTCTGTGTGAGTTTATTGACCAAGCAGCAGTGGATCTGTACTGGTTTGTTAACACATTTAATTGGGTTTACTCAGCTTAGATATATGCAAGCCTCCACTTTGCTTTACAAGAAACAGGAGTTTTTTTCAGAAGTTATTCGGCTCAATACAAAAAAAAACAAGTGAAGATATTTAATGTTTCTCAACATTACGACTTTTTACAGATTTCTTATGTTTTTGCTTTTGTATCATACTTTAATATTTCATATCAACAAACACATTTCTATATCAAAGATGACCTGAGTAAGTATAAAGTGCAATTTTTAATTGCTGATTTAATTTAAGAAGGGTGAAAGGCCATAAGCAACCTGGCCCTGTGTAAAAAGTAATTGACCCCTGAAATTCATAACTGCCTGTAGCGACAATGATCTCTTTCAGGATTTTTTTGGTAGAAAGCTGAATTCATGGTTTCATTAATTACAGCAAGATGTCCAGGTAAAGCAGCCCCAGACCATTACACTACCACCACCATGTTTGCCTATTGGTATGGTGTTCTTTATCCAGTTTTATATCGCATACACCTTCTAAAAGGTTCCACTGTTGTCCATGGACTATTTCCTAAAAATCATTCGATTCATCAAGATTTTTAATTTTCCCAAATGTAAGATTGGCCTTCGTGCTCTTATATGGTCTCTCAAAGGAGTGGTTGACTCGTTTATTACATTTGCATACATTTGCAGTGGTCTCTAGTAGTAGTCCTGTAAGTTGTTCTCGGGGGGGGGGGTAAACAGTCAGCAACACTGATGTTTTATCTCCACAAATAACACAAGCCTGGAGGAGCTTCTGCCCTGTGGTGAAGTTGCTAATGCTAATAGCTAGCCTAAAATAGCCACTATGTCCACTGCTGAGTCCCAGGCATTAAAATAACAACAGCCTTCCCTGCCGTGAGTCAAGATAGGTGAGTCCATTGATGCTAATTCACAGTGTGACATAGATCTGTGAGGCTTTTCGAATCCTAGAGTTTCACCATCTACTTTCTATCAGAAGGCGGGAGATAGGTGTGGGAGACTATTTTCATGTTCAGCCTGCATGAAAATCTTAGAGTGACTGATTATAATCAGAAAATCATTTTAAAAATGTGTTTTCAGTCAATCACACCTTTAAGTTTTGGCCAGTTGTCCAGTGAGGACTTTTTTTATTGTTAGTCATGAATTCTGAATTTAACCAAGTGACACCTGAAGAACTGAAGGAAGGAACTGAACTGAAGTTCCTGAAGGAACATTTTTAGAACCACGTGTGATTGTGTTGCTTTTTGAGATCTTTTAGCCTACTTCATGTTGCCAGATTCTATATTAACAATATTTTTATTCTACAGGTCTGGCAGTAATCAGGCCAGAGTGTTGCTACTAAAACCAAACTTAGCTTTCTAAATAATGCATCAGTCACAGTTAATTCATAATTTTACAAAGAGCCATGGTGATTTGATAGTCTTTTCTTGTAATAAATGATATAATAATTTCTATGTAGAAAAGTGTTGCTTCTCTGAAAAACTTTAGTGCAACAGATAAAGATAACCAGAGGAGAATAAATACTTTTGCACTGCGCTGTTATTTTTATCCCAAAAACAAGAAGCTTGGCAAGAGTCTCAAATGCATTTTTATAAAGAAAAACAAGCAAAAATAGGATGTATCAATAATTCTGGTGCAGCCGCTTCAATCATCAGACACATGTCAACCGTCAGTGGCCCTGTGTCAGGCTTTGTGTCCGTCCATGCTGGGAGCACTCAATCTATGTCAGCGCGGAGACAAGTGGCGCACATCTCCATGACAGCCACAGAATATGATCTGCAATTCAACTACCATCATGTCACTCCCGTCACCGGGATCTCTTTCTCCCCAACGAGTACACATCAATTTGAAAATAGTCACTCACTGGGCAGCAGAGTCCGAATCACTGTAACTAAAAAAATAAAATCGCTTTCCCAGCTGCACCGATACATTTTGTCCTTGTCTAGACACGTTGGTTACCATTTATCCATCCTAGAGTTGTGTTTTTATTGTCTGAATGAGTGTCGTGAAATAAGATGTAGGATCTGAATGCAGACTCCTGCATACAGCATGATAATTGTCCATTTTTATTTATGTAACACACCAAAAACATCATAATTTTAAATTTAATGGTTGGAATATTGAGATCATCGGACATTTTCCTAATTAGGCACATAACAGCTCATACAAGGTTGCAGATTTATAGATAAACTAGCATTTTTTCTCTCTTTTTTTGTATTTTTTCCTCTGAAGACCATTTCTCTGAAACAACAGCACCACTGCTGTCTGGTAAAGGTTATATGGTTCTGCTTGACATGAGTAGTGACAGCCAGTATCACATTTGCATCTTTGGCTGCTTCCGACAGCGATGTTGTTGTTGTGATTTTTTTATTGACGGCAGGCGGACGTCTCATTATTTTTGTCCAAACTGGAAGGAGACGAGGGAAGACCCTTACCTCCCTTAAGCCTGTCAGATGTCAATGATCTGAGATGTCCTTGACTAAATAACGTTAAACACTAAGCATAGATGAACTGGTGTTTCAGCGGATGTTCCTGTGTTTGAAGACAGGATGGCAGCCATGTATTAATGCAGACACCAGACACAGAGTCACGAGGGAGACGATGTGGGATTAGGACAGGAAACCAACAGAAGAGATGGATACGGCTGAAAGACAGACTGATCCGTGTGAACTAGGCAGCATACAGTGCTGATCCGAGAGCTGGAAGAGTTGTGAGCCGCGAGGCGGTGCCCCCGGGGCTTGCCTGTGGCTACCTCTGCCTCCACCTAGCCGTTTCATTATTGGGCCTCCGGTAAACACGCATGGAAGCAGAGGACCACAGGCAAGAGGAAGGAGAAGGTAGAGTTAGGAGGAGTCGCTGTGTTTTCACTACAAGCAGAAAGACAAAATGAAGTGAGATGAAGGGAAAACTGAGGGCCAGAGAGTTGATGAAGGGGAGGCCTAGAGTAGCAGACTGATCAAGTGGGGCAATTGTGTGAGACCCAGAGAGAGGTGAGGAGTATGAAGTCTTGTTTTTATCCATGGTGCTTTGCTCCACTGGTAATAAAACTGACAGGATTCATTCGCTGTGATATACTGACCTCTTAGAGCGGAGACAATAGAAAAGTAGCTGTTAAACTTACCTAAGGGACAGCAGCACATGGCAGGGGGTTTGGAAAGCGGTGAGGGTGATGTTGTGGAAATAGAATATTTATTGAATGGTTTTCCACTCTCCACTGGGAGCCCAGGGATTACACGGCAACAAGCGACTTAGGCACCAAACCGTGTCTGGGATTGCTATTACCTGCCATTCAGTATTATAGCATGTGGTCTGTGACACCTGTGGCTTATTATCATATTTTATTTAGGTTTCATGAGACCTAAAAGACAACTTTAGTCTCCTGCTTCATATTACCTCTCCTATTCACTCATGATCCTCTCCAGCTAAAAGCAGCACAGGTCATTACAACAGGTGATGACATTTTAGCATGTTAGTGTGAAGTAAGTTGACCTTTAACTGGGCTATTAAAAGAGTTTGTGACAGGTGAAAAAACAGGAGAAAGATGAAACATGAACTAAGACAGGATCTATTTGTCTACGTAGCATCAGGAATATTTTATATACAGGCCCTTCTCAAAAAATAGCATATTATGATAAAGTTCATTATTGTCTGTAATGTACTGATAAACATTAGACTTTCATACATATTTGATTCGTTACACACAACTGAAGTAGTTCAAGCCTTTTATTGTTTCTAATATTGATGATTTTGGCATACAGCGCATGAAAACCCAAAATTCCTATCTCAAAAAATGTACATATCATGAAAAGGTTCTCTAAACGAGCTATTAACCTAATCATCTGAATCAACTGATTAACTCTAAACACCTGCAAAAGATTCCTGAGGCTTTTAAAAACTCCCAGCCTGGTTCATTACTCAGAACCGCAATCATGGGTAAGACTGCCAACCTGACTGCTGTCCAGAAGGCCATCATTGACACCCTCAAGCAAGAGGGTAAGACACAGAAATAAATTTCTGAACGAATAGGCTGTTCCCATAGTGCTGTATCAAGGAACCTCAGTGGGAAGTCTGTGGGAAGGAAAAAGTGTGGCAGAAAACGCTGCACAACGAGAAGAGGTGGCCGGACCCTGAGGAAAATTGTGGAGAAGGACCGATTCCAGACCTTGGGGGACCTGAGGAAATAGTGGACTGAGTCTGGAGTAGAAACATCCAGAGCCACCGTGTACAGGCGTGTGCAGGAAATGGGCTACAGGTGCCGCATTCCCCAGGTCAAGCCACTTTTGAACCAGAATCAGCGGCAGAAGCGCCTGACCTGGGCTACAGAGAAGCAGCACTGGACTGTTGCTCAGTGGTCCAAAGTACTTTTTTTTTCGAATGAAAGAAAATTTTGCATGTCATTTGGAAATCAAGGTGCCAGAGTCTGGAGGAAGACTGGGCAGAGGGAAATGCCAAAATGCCTGAAGTCCAGTGTCAAGTACCCACAGTCAGTGATGGTCTGGGGTGCCATGTCA